TTCCCTTTTTACCCTATTGGAGAAGTTTTTGGATGTGCATAGGGATTTGATTCTTAGAGGGTCCCATTCATCTATTTTATCTTCTCCTGATTGTAGGTTTTTCGGGATACTTGGAAGACTGTTTATGTTGTGGATTAGGACTTCTAGCGTTGTTCCTAGCTTTTCTTTAATAAAGTTTGTAGTCCTTGGTTTTAGTCCTAGGTCTGTGATCCACCTTGAGTTGGTTTTTGTATATGGAGTGAGGTGTGGATTCTTGCTTGAATCTCAAAAGATATTTTTTAAAAGATTATTTTCACATATTGAAATACACACTGAAAATGACTGTCCTCATTATTAAAAAAATCATTGGTAGTATTCTATAGCATCTCTGTTTTCTTTTGGTGAGGGGTTTTGAAATTTAATGGAAGATTAAAGATCATTCTGTCAATATAATCCCCACTTACTGGGGGAATGTTGCTTTCATATGGATTCTGACTCATGGCAACCCCATATGCCTCAGGTTTGAACTAATATAAAGGTTCTTCTTAGCAGTAATTTTATAGAAGCCAATAACCAAGAATTTTTTCTCCAGCATCTCTGGGTGGCTTTGAATCACTAACATTTTGGTGAGAAAAGAATGCAAGTTATTTGCATCAAACACCAAAAGAGGCTTGATATTAACCTTCTAAAGGAACAGGATCTAAGTGGCAGGGAAGAAAGATGACGGAAACAACATGTAACACTCTGACCAAATTTTTCTTTGTCCTTAAGCCTCTCCCCTTACCTCTCTGAGAGTCAGTCAGAATCCTGCTTCTACCATTTAGTTATGTGAGCCCAAGAGGGCAAGACCCTTGTTTCACTGCACAATAAAACACCCAATTCCCTACATTGTAATTTTTTTACCTCATTTTGTAATACAGCAAAGTATTTGATAAACAAATAAAAACACACAGGTCCACTTTATCTGACTCCACCCAAACTTTGTAGTCTTGCCTTCCACTATTCCTCTTTATGAAGCACATGCTTCAACTGGATCCAGCAGCAGAATTCTCTGGAGGGCTTGGTAAAACCCTGATTACTGGACCCCACACTGATTCAGTAAATCCAAGGTGGATCCCAAGAATTATCATTTCTAACATGTTCCTAAGGAGCCCTTTTGGTGTACTGTGAAACATATTAGGCTAGTAACCTGTTGTTCAAATCCACAGGAGAAAGATAATGGTCTGCTCTTGTAAAGATGTATATCCTTGGAACCCTAATGGAGGGACACTATGAGTCAGAATTGACTTCATGGCAGTTTGGGTAGGATGTGCCCAGGTGATGTTGATGCTGCTGGTTTGGAGACTATGCTTTGGGAACCACTCTTCTGATCCAACTGGACCTGCCACATTCCTAGGAGTTTCTGCCTCTGTCTCTTATCACTCAGCTCCTACTACTCTCTCCATCTGAAACATCTTCCCTTTATTTTCCACTTCCTGCATCCCAACTATTCAATGAATTTCAGTTCAAATGCCAATTCATCTTTTAAATAGCATGTGTGTTACTAATACCAGCTTATGTTTAGTACTTTTTCTCTTCCCAACAACTTCAACACTTCTCTGGTTCTCTTTTGCATCATTTACTGCCCCCATTTGTATATTTGGAAATGCTGGTTGTGAAGTCTATAGAAAGTTATGTTGCTAACGTAAACAGCAGTTTGAATCCTTCAATGACTGGAAGAAGAAAGAAGGACTACCTCTTCTGCTGCGATTGACAGCCCTCAGACACTCGCTGGAGGGTCAGCTATAAGTTGATTGCAATTTGACATCAACGAGTTGGAGTATTTTTTTAAAAGTATTTTATTTGTGCATTGTCTTATTGCCCCCATAACCTCCCTGAGGAGAAAGCTTTTTTAATCATCTGCAATACTTATAAAAGTGTGTGGCAGCGTGTGTTTCCTCTTAGACCCTTGGTTTATACCTAAGGGAATGAATAAGTAAATGAGTGAAAATCATCACTATCCCAAATTGATCTGTTGCTTCTGTTATCTTTGATAATTGTTATATTTCATTTAGTTTTTGTTTTTTGTGTGTTTTTTTTAGAAGTCAAAATGCTATAATTTAGATTAGTAGCAGAATACAGTCAGGACAGCTTACAAAATATACTCAGACACCTCAGCCTTGACACTCACTGCTTTAGGCTACTGTTAACAAAGTTCTCAGTCTTCCCAATTGTTACTTATTTTTAAAAGTATTAATGCTGTTGAATTGGTCCTATGTGTTTCCTCCTAAAGCTGAAATGCCCTCATTAAGTATATGCTCATCATTTTTTTTATAATAATATGTAAGGAGTGCTCACCTACTAGTTAAAATTTTGTAGGCTTGAACCTACCAGAGACACTTCAGAGACAAGCCTTGCTCTGCTTCTGAAAGATTGTAGATTTGAGAAGCGCAGGGAGGGTCATTCACACAGAGTCACTATGAGTTAGGATCTGCTCAATGACACAACAACGAGCAGTAAACCAGTCCTGAATGTTCATTTTCTCTTGGGCTCCATACATTATAGTTAGGGTTTGGAGATAGTGTTATGACTCATACAAAAATAAGGTAAGAGAATAAGGTAATCCAGGGATGCTTCATCTAAAAATACTGTGACAGATTTTATTTCTTTGAGCCTTCTATTTTGTAGTGAGGAAAATATCATGAAAGTGTCCCATGGCCCTTGGGTTTTAGATATTAAATCACATTCCTAAGTGGTTATAATGGCAATCCACGATTTATATTCTTCAAATTTATATAGAGGTAATATATGGCTTCATGGGAGAAAAATGAGCAATTTATTCCTGTGCAATTTACAGCCTCAGAAATTCAATGACGGGGTCAGCTATGAGTCAGCTCAGACTCAACAGCAATAAATGAAGGTGTTTATTCTCTAGTTGTTCACATGAGATAATCAGGTAAAAAATTTATTAACATCCTTTGTTTCAGGAATTCCATAGAGGTTCCCACCCACCCCTCACCCCCTGATTATTGGAAGATTCATGCAAGAATGCATGCATCTGCAGTCTAACAAAAGGATGAATTTTTATCATTTTCTATAGATCAGAGATTGTATGGATTCCTGCTCCAGACCCAGAAGAATTATATTTTTGCTTAACAATTTTCCCACAAGGAAAGAAATGATAGACTTTTCTTATGTTAGTTCATCTTACATAAACAAGTTTATTTCTTTCAAGGAAGATAGCAGACTCTTTGAAACAGTAATACAATTGCAGTTTGGCATTAATGAATTGGTAAAACGCCAAACCCTACTGTCATCGAGTTGATTCCTGATTCTGACTCATGGTGATCAAGTTTCTGAGGCTATAAATCTTTATGCGGAGACTGTCCAACTTTCTCCAGGGGGGAGCTAGTAGAATTGAATTGCTGACCTTTGTTTAGCAGCCTGACACGTTATACACTGCATCACCAGTGCTTCTTAATGGTATATAGTGAGGGGAATTTCACACAGTATTCACAGTTTCTGTGAGACGTAGGCAGGACTTCCCCAAATCCTGGGAGGTTTAAAAACTGTCAGTAAGAGTCAGACAGATGCTGACCTAGATTATTAGCAAGCACAGGGTGAATTAGCCCGCCTCTTGGATCTAATGATGCAGCCACAAGGAAGAGGGTGGGGAGGGAAAACACTAAAAGGACAGTTACTGCACTTGGCTGGGTTCCTGGTGAATGTTCTCATTCCAGCCACCACCTGCTTTCAGTTTTGCATGTTTCTGTGCTTCAGAACATATTTCATTGGAACTTCCAGACTACAGTGGACTAGGAAGAAAGGCTAGTGATCAATTTCCAAAATACAGATCATGAAAATTGAGATGACAGTGCATTATTCCATTGTGTGTGGCATCACTGTGAGTTGAGAGGATGATTCAATGGCAATTTAGCAGTCACCACAACCTGAGAGAGTTTAATAAATCTTCTTATAGGAGTGAAACAGTCTCAAGATAGAAGATACAGTTGGAGGAGACATCAGAAAACTTCATGTGACCTGGGTGACTGTGATTATGAAAGTTGTACAGCCACAAGATATTCTCATTTTCCAGACATTCTAAAACAGTGATAAGGACACCGGGCTAAGTTTCAGGAGCTTGATTTCTGGTTCTCTCTCCATCTCTGTTTTCTTGTATTCAGGCCACTCCACCACTCTGGGCTTGAGTTTCTTCATGAGCAAAGTGAGAGATTTGAATTAAACAACTTGTCAAATTTCTCCCAGCTTTAACATTTGTTCTCTATTTTTTTCCTCCCTAAAATTGCATGAATCAAGCATGTTTTGACAGTTTAATGATTTAGACTTTGAGATCCTTTGAACTGAGACCCTAATAAGTGTCTGGAGAGTTTTGAAGGCTCAAACTTTGAGTCTGATGATAAAGTAAGTACACATATAGTGAGAGAGGGTGTTATTCAGAATTCGTACACTTCTGAAGTAACTTACCTCACAGACAGAGAGTACGACCCAGTCTTTTCATTACTGTCCCTTAACAGGTAGCTCCCATCTAATCCATTTGAGAGAAGAAGAGCTTCAGCGGCATGGCGTGAGAGGTTGCCATGATACCATCTAGGAAGGAAAGAGCAGTGTATCACTCAGGGCAAAACATCCGGGACAGCCCCTTTACTGGGTTTTCCGGCTCCTAGCATGTGTTAGCAGTACTCTCCACTGTAGACAGCATAGTGGCCAAGTTCTGCAACACAGTAATTATTGTTGTTATGTGCCATTGAGTCACCTGCAGCACAGAGTGACCCAAATGTACAACAACCTATCTAACTCTGCTCTATCTTATTGTCTCTGACACACCGACTCTCATTACCCAGTCACTAAATCAATCCATCTCATCGAAGGTCTTCCTCTCCTGCACCCTCCACCCTCCCAAGCATGACGTTCCTCTCCAAGGAATGGTCCCTCCTTGTAACATGTCCAAAGTATATCAGACAAAGTTTCAGAATCATTGCCTCCAAAAGGAGCAGCCTGGGCTTACACTCGCTAGAACAAACTTGTTTGTTCTCCTAGCAGTCCATGGCATATTCAGTACTCTTCTCCAGCACCACAGCTCAAAGGCATTAATTCTCCTTCTATCATCCCTAGCCATTGTCCAGCTCTCTGATACATAGCAAGTAATTGCAAAGACCATGGCTTGGATCAGGTGCACCTTAGTTTCCAGATTGACATTGTTGCTCTTTAGTACTTTGGAGAGGTCTTTAAAGGCTGACATTCTCAGTGCAATATTTACTGACTGCTGGTACCAAGAGTGTTGATTGTAGAACCAAGCAAACTAAAGCTGCTAACAATCTCAATCTCTTCACCATCTATCATGATGCTGCCAATCGGCCCAGTGGTGAGAATCACTGGGTGAGGCTGAAGAGAATGGCAGAGAGAGTTGACTAAGAGCAGTGTTATTTTACAAATAGAATTAAAAGACCAAGACAAAAATAGCAATCAGAATAGGCTTTGACCTATTTTCTCTCTTCCTTTGTATGTCTCCCTCTTACTCTCTTTTGCAAGTATAGTATCATTTCACGGAAGAACCACTGAAATATTAAACTAGAGTCCACTGTAACCAGTAACATGAAGCCCAACACAAAGTATTCACATTTTTATAATGAAGTGTAAGATCTATTGAACACTAGTTCCAACTGGCAGATATCTGAAGACTAAAGAAAGTTCCCAGGAGATTAAAATTGATCCATGTATTTTTAACACTTTAGAAAATGTAAGATATATCCATTGCTTTTTTCTTTTTAAAAATCTAAAACAAATAAAAGGGAACAATGAAAGTAGAGCCTTTTTCTTGGTTCTCAAATCCCCTTGTTCCTTTGCCCAGAGGATTCCAGTGATATTTCCCCATGTTTCTCCCCTAGAAAACTGTCTATGCATCTGAGACATTCAGGAGCCACTGGGTAGTGCAAACAGTTAACATGCTCAACTGCTAACTGAAATGCTGATGGTTGGAGTCCTTCCAGAGGTATCTCAGAAGAAAGACCTGGTAATCCACTTCTGATTAATCAGCTATTGAAGATCCTGAACAGCACAATTCTACTTATGATGTGGGGTTGCCATCAGAGCCCACTTGATACCAAGTGGTTTAATGTCATTTAAATACATCCTCTCTCCTACTTCTATAGAAAGAAAAACATCTTTGGTATGTTCTACACCTTGTCTCATCCTTTTATGATAGACCTGACACATTCTTTTTAATGATGACATAAAGAGAGTATAGTGTGATTATCAGGATTGTGGCCTCTGGGGGCACTTTAAAACCAAACAAACTCATTACTATCAAGTTGATTGTGATTCATGGGGACCTCATATGTTTCAGAGTAGAACAGCACTTCATAGGATTTTCAGTGGCTGTGCCTTATGGAGGTAGATCACCAGACCTTTCTTCTGTAGCACTCCCGGGTACATGAAAATGACCAACATTATGCTTAGTAGTCGAAAGCAAATCATTTGTATCACTCAGAGATCTGAACATAGTTTGACCAAAGCACCAGACATGTTAATTAGTCTATTCCGATTCTGAGCAATCCTAGAAGAGTTAACAGAGCTGCCCTCTAGTTTTCATGTTTGTACATCTCTATGGAAGGAGATGGCCTTATCTTTTCCTATAAAGTAGCTAGTGGATTCAAACTATAGACCTTTCAGTTAACAGCCAAGTGCTTAGGCATTGCAACACTAGGAATCCTTGGAGATAGTTTGCTTGGGTTCAGATCCATTTGATAGTTCTTAATAGATTAGGAAGGGCAATCTCCTCCCATGTGATTAACCACCTCTGAAAACCCACTGGAGGGTCAGCTATGGGTCGGTTCCAAGTCAATGGTACACAATAGCAACAACAATTAGCTTTATCTGTCTCTCTCATTGCTGTAGGGCCGGAATTAAGCCTCCAGTGGGTTTTCTGAAGCTGTAAATTGCACAGGAAGAGCTAGCCTATCTTTCTTATGCAGCCAGCACTGTTGGTGGATTTGAACTGCCAGAGAAGAGGCACCTTTGAGTTGGCAGTCTAACTCCCTACCACACTACGCCACCAGTGCTCCTTGCTAGCTTTATGGTCTTTGGAAAAATTTTCAACCAATATGAGCTTTTGTTATTCACTCAAATACATTTTATTATCTACCTTCATCTGTACAATTGGACAATGACAGTTACAGGCTTATCATGAATATTGCATGAATTAACACATGTGAAGTGAATGAAATAGGTCTGACATATGGCAGTGCTAGCTTATCCTCTGAGGTAAGATACTCTTCTTGCTCAAGTAAAATTATTTTATTACTTTTAATTTGGTTCAGAAAACAGAAAGTTAGGTAAATGCTGGAAATAGCTGCTGATCCCAAGGAACTCATAGTCAAGGCAATGGCAAAAGAAGAGGATAAAGATGTGACAGATTAAGGTCTATGACAAAAGTGTATAGTGTACAAGAATTCTGAGGAAGAACTCTACTTTGCAGTGATCCTAAGGCATTAAACTCCAGCCTTAGCCCAAGACTATTCATTATGGATTGAACTGTGTTCCTCAAAAATATGTGCTGACTTGGCTAGATCGTCATTTTCAGTATTACATAATTATACCCTATGTTGTGATCTGATGTAATTATCCTGTGTTATAAATATTAACCACCTTGATGTTACTGAGGCAGGGTACCACCTATGGGACTAATTCTGTACCTTGAGTCAATCTCTTTTGAGATTGAAAAACAAACAAAAGAGCAGAGATTGGGGGAGTTAGGGAGCTGGAGAAGCTTACTGAATGTCCCATGGACTGCTGAAAGAGCAGACAGAGATAGATACCTTGGGAAAAGTGCAGCCAGAAAGCACCTTGGAGGCAAAGATGATAAAGCTTCACCTCTCATACTTTGGACTTGTAGCTAGATAAGGCTATTCCTTGGAAAGAGATATCATGCTTGGAAAGACGGAGGGTCAGCAAAGGAGATGAAGACCTCCAATGAGATGGATTGATAACTTCAGCAATGGGCTCTAGTGTGTTAGTGATGATTAAGATAACACAAGACAGGCCAAGGTTCAGGCTGACTGTTCATAGGATTGCTATGAGTCATACTCAACTCTGCGGCACCTAACGACAACAGCAACTCTACATCCAAGAAAGAAGAACCAAGGGTAGTGTACACCCCCTGGACCCAAAGTCCCTGTGCTGAGAACTTCCTAGACCCAGGAGACAGAGAGCAATAATGTTGGAGATGTTGTAAGATGTCAAGAAATGGCAGTAGTAGGAGCAGTAGAATCCTAGAACAAGTAGTAGATGGTGCAGAGGATGTGTTGACCTACAGAGAAAGAGAACTGAGTACTTTTGGGCAGGAGAGTTGCAAGTAGAGGGAGGTGTCTTTGGGCACTTTGAGTGGAACAAAGAGCTTTGTACCACTTGTCTAAGCAGACATTGGTAGAGTCCAGTCACATCCAGGACACACACACACACACACACACAGAGAGAGAGAGAGAGAGAGAGAGAGAGAGAGAGAGAGAGATCTACCTACCTGTAAGCATAGTTGAAAAGTTGTCTTGACTTAAGGACTGAACTCTGAGTCATTTCTGATCCTGAAATGTAACTTGTTATTACAATACACATGAAGTTCTCCAAGGAACGCTGAGACTACAAATGTTGAAGGAGGTAAGGACCTTCTTCCAAAGCTCTCACACCCAGAGAACCTTCTCCTAGAGCTGGTACCCTCTATTTGTACTCCTAGCTCACTAAACTGTGAGAGAATAAATGTCTATTTGGTAAAGTCATCCGCTTGTGGTCTGTCAGAGCAGTACTAAATGACTAAAGGTAGCACTGATGGCCTGGTCTTCAGAGAGCTGAACTGCTTACTCAAAGGTCACATGTCTCTAGCCATTAGAATGACTAGAGGCTTTGTAGGAGACAGCTGGGCAGTCTCCTCTCTTGGGCTTTATAGTCATAGAAACCCAGTGGAAAGTCGGCTCTGAGTTGGTTCCAACTTTGTCAGTTATTGTTAGATATCACTGAGATGGAACCAACACATAGCTGACTCTCCAGTGGGTTTTGGAGACAGTAAATTGCATGGGAGGAGATTACTCATCTTTCTCCTGTGGAATGGTTGGTGGATTTGAACTATGTGTCTTTGAGTTCATAGCACAGATCTTTATCACTAGGCCACCAGAACTCAATGGCAAGTAAAGTAGAGTAAGTGGTAAAGACACCATCTATGGAAGGAAGTTTTACATAGGTCTCCAACCTATCTGTCTTCTAAACCTACATTTCCTAATGTTTGGTTCTTTGCACACTTCCTCTTTTGGGCAGAGATGTTTCCACGCTGCATCAACTTTCTATTTGCTAGTTGAAAGCAATAGTATGGGGAAAGAAACAAACATTTTTAAAGAACACCTACTGAGGGATTTATACACAGAGTTAGCTGTGTTCATTATACTGATTCTCAGACAAGTTTCAAAGAACAATTGGAAAAGTTAAAAGTGAAGCTATGGCCATTGCTTCAGGAAAAGGTCCCAATACCTGAGCACTCAAGATGTGTGACTTCACTGAGGACCAGACCACAGAATTTAAGGAGGTCTTCCAGCTGTTTGACCAAG